GCAGACACCAAGAGACCAAATGTCCCCAAAAGAGGAAGGGATCATTAGGAAGGCCACATCCTCAAAGGTGGCCACTGAGACTCAGGATGTTTTCATGCACTTTAAGTGGGTCACGGCGCCAGGACAGACCCACCTGAGGACAAGTGCAATGGGAATCATTTCTTATTTTATTAAAGAAAGTGGGCCGGGCGCGGTGGCTCAAGCCTGTAATCCCAGCACTTTGGGAGGCCAAGGCGGGTGGATCACGAGGTCAAGAGATCGAGACCATCCTGGTCAACATGGTGAAACCCCATCTCTACTAAAAATACAAAAAAATTAGCTGGGCATGGTGGCACATGCCTGTAATCCCAGCTACTCAGGAGGCTGAGGCAGGAGAATTGCCTGAACCCAGGAGGCGGAGGTTGCGGTGAGCCGAGATCGCACCATTGCACTCCACCCTGGGTAACAAGAGTGAAACTCTGTCTCAAAAAAAAAAAAAAAGAAAGTGAAGAGCCTCTTAAATGGGCCACAGAAGGCAACGGGAGCAGAAAGGGATGATGCATCCCCCACCACTGGGCTTCCCTGTGGACGAGGCTGAGTCATGCTGGGCCCCCAAAGTGGCTGGGCACAGGCCAGAAAAGCACCCAGACAAATCAAGAGCAAGAGCCGTGATTCCCATTGCACTCGTCCTCAGGTGGGTCTGTTCTGGAACCGTGACCCACTTAAAGTGCATGAAAACATCCTGAGTCTCAGTGGCCACCTTTGAGGATGTGGCCTTCCTAATGATCCCTTCCTCTTTCGGGGACATTTGGTCTCTTGATGTCTGTTCAGTTTTTCTGGGTTTTGAGGTTCTGTAGAGGTCAAGTCAAAAGAAATTTGAAGCAAAGCTGGCAGGGCACAGTGGCTCACACCTGTAATCCCAGCACTTCTGGAGGTCGAGGCAGGCAGATCACTTGAGGCCAGGAGTTCAAGACCAGGCTGGCCAACATGGCGAAACCCCATCTCTACTAAAAATACAAAAGAAATAAAGAAATGGGAAGCAAGAACTCTGAGCCCCATGACAACTCTTATAGCTATTTTGTTTGTTTGTTTGTTTTATTGTATACGAAGAACTTCTCGCAGTTTCATTGTATTGCCAGAGGGTTATTGTGATTGTTATTCCTGTTGTACAGAGAAGGAAAAAAAGGCACAGAAGTCACACAGTCTTGCTCAAAGTCACACAAATACTATCTATCAGAGCCACTGTCATTCTTAGCACCTTTTCTGTCTTGGCAGGAAGAGTCCACTGCCAAGTAGTTTTGTTCATGGTCAGCTCTTGGCAATAAACCAAGGCCATCACAGGCATCCTGTTAGCAGCTGCAGATGGCTGTGAATCAGGGAATAAAGTCACCAGACCTGCCTTGATGGCCTTTGTCTGGGTTGCCCTTGAGAATTCAGTTGCATCCTGCACATGTGCCACTCACTGCTGTCTGAGGCCTCCCTAAGCCTAAACTCTGCCTGCACCTGCCTGTTTAGTGCCCAACCTGGTCTTCACTCTTGTTAAGTCTCAAGGTCAGCTGGACCCAGCACAGCTTCTGGGAACGTGCAGGACCTTTCTTCATACCCCATTAGCATCCTCATTAAGTGTCACTTCTTATTTACAGGAGAGTCAGGGCTGGTCTCGACAGCTAACACCTGGAAGGCTAGCACTTGGAAGGCTAAGGTGGGATGATCACTTGAGCCCAGCATGGGCAGCATAGAGAGACCCTGTCTCTACAAAAGATTTAAAAATTAGCCTGCTGGACACAGTAGCTCATGCCTGTAACCCCAGCACTGTGGGAGACCGAGGTGGGCGAATCACAAGGTCAGGAGTTCGAGACCAGTCTGGCCAACAAGATGAAACCCCGTCTCTACTAAAAATACAAAAATTAGTTGGGCGTGATGGCAGGTTCCTGTAATCCCAACTACTCGGGAGGCTGAGGCAGGAAAATCACTTGAAACCAGAAGGCAGAGGTTGGGGTAAGCCAAGATTGCACCAGTGCACTCCAGCCTAGGCGGAAGAGTGAAATCCTGTCTCAAAAAAAAAAAAAAAAAAAAGCCAGGGCACGGTGGCTCAAGCCTGTAATCCCAGCACTTTGGGAGGCCGAGGCGGGTGGATCACAAGGTTAAGAGATCGAGAGCATCCTGGTCAACATGGTGAAACCCCGTCTCTACTAAAAATACAAAAAATTAGCTGGGCATGGTGGCGCGTGCCTGTAGTCCCAGCTACTCGGGAGGCTGAGGCAGGAGAATTGCCTGAACCCAGGAGGCAGAGGTTGCGGTGAGCCGAGATCACGCCATTGCACTCCAGCCTGGGCAACAAGAGCGAAACTCGGTCTCAAAAAAAAAAAAAAAAAAAAAAAAAGGTCTGGTGGTATGTGCCTATGGTCCTAGCTACGTGAGAGGCTGAAGCAGGAATATTGTTTGAGCCTGGGTGGTCGAGGCTGCAGTGAACTGTGTTTGCACCACTGTACCCAGCCTGAGCAACAAAGCAAGACCCTGTCTCAAAAAGATAAAGGAAAGTCAGGAAGAAAGACCCCAAATGCTTAAACCCACATACTTACTCCTTCCCTCCACCTGATCTCCAGACAGGTAGCACCGAAGATGACTGTTGAAACATACCCAGAATTCCTCTTACATCCCCAAGCGAACAGCAACACAGCGAGGTCTCATGCTGAGCCTCACCTCTCTTTTTTTCTGCTAGCACTTCCAAGGGACAGTTAAAGTGCAATGCCATCAAAATCCTAGTCCCCATGGTAGTGAGCTTCCCTGGGGCCAGTGGGGCTGGGGTGAAAAGATGGCTGGTTGTAGTGAATGTAGCCTCTCAGGCCATTTTGATTAGCAGCCCCCACTTGAGAATCACAGGTGTCTTGGTGGGAGGTGGGAAGTGAGTTCATTGTTAGATGTCCACACTTCCCTACCTGTCTCCCCCTTTTCATTTTTTATTTAAAGGGGTCCACCTTGTCTGCAGCTTCCCTGACTGCCAGGGAATCTGAAGTTCAAATTCATCCAGGCAGCCTATAATTTTATTTTTCAAATCTGACAACTCTGACTCCAATGGCTTTTATCAAACCTAAGAGCAGGCCCTGTCTCGCTTCCTGCCATTCTTGCCTCATTGACCGTTTAGACACAGCAACTTAGTCCCCGAGCCACACCAGCTATTTTGGTTCCTCATTGCTGAACTGTTAAGTCCAGACTTGGGCCATCTACTATCCTCAGGAGCCTCTTGGAGGCTGGCTTCCTAAAACCATGGTGACACTACCTACCATTTTATTGAGCACCTGCTCTGTGCCTGGCATGATGTAGACACCGTTTTATTTAATTCACACAACAGTTCTTCAGAGTAGAGACGAGTTATTATTATTATAGATTAGGAAACAGAACGTGCAAGGTTAAGTGATTTGCCTAGAGTCACATAGACAGCAGATGACAGCACTCAAATCTCCAGCCCTCTGGCCTCAGCCTGTACATTTCTGGCTAGCCCTCTAACCTAGGGCCAGGGTAGTTAGTACCATCCAGTATGTCCCAGGACACTGTTGGGAGGGAAAGCAGGGCCCTGGATACAGCAGGGGAACACAGGTTCCTGAACCTGGTAGCATTCTCACTATAAATGTAATGACTTTGTAATGACAGATGCACATTTTCCACAGTGCAACAAAAGAAAAATTAGTGCAGAGATTCAATTATGTCTCCCATTTTTGAGGGCAATTTTGCTCTCTCAATAGATTAATTAGCAGCGGAGATCTCCTCCCCCCAGGCAAATCATGGCACACTTTATGGCGAGGAGGTGCATTAAGATGCAGCTGTGTCTCATTAAGCAGCCAGCCTTGCCCCCAGCATGCGCGCCCGTGCTGCTTTCCCGTCCTGCCTGGAGAACAGAGGGAAAGTTTGCTGAACCTGACCAGATTAGGGGGCAGAGTGCCCACCTTTCAAGGAGATCCTATATGTGGACTATAGGCCACAGGAATGTAGGGAAAGGGTTCTCCTGTCATCTTAGGAGAAGCAACCTGTATCCAACCGGTGGAGGATACCTAGGAGAGAAAAGGATGAGGAGAAGGAAAGAGCTCAAAGCAGTTAAATCGCTTCTAAAGTGTGCACTTTGTAAACCTCAGCTCACTTCACCTTCACAGCAGCCCTGTGAGGTCATTTTTACTGTCTTTCTTCCTTCACTACCACATGCCTCTTTTTCACATTTTGTTGTATGTATGCAGGAGGCATAGCTTTCTCTCACCCGCCAATTCAACACACCGCTAAAGCCAAGAAATACAGCATCACCATGCTGCTGTAAGAAAAGCGAGGCTCAGAGATGTGCAGTCCTTTGCCCCGTTAATAAGTGAGCTAGAGCTAGGACTTGAACCCGTGCCTGTGTAAACCCGTGTTCTTCTTCCCTTAAAGTCGTGTTAGAAAATTGCAACATATTCCTGCCACCCAGCCTCTAATGTGCTTTCCCTTTGATAAACTGTTACCTTCCTTTTCATTTTATTTTCTTTTTTTTCTTTTTTTTTTTTTTTTTTTTTTGAGGTGGAGTCTTCGCTGTGTTGCCTAGGCTGGAGTGCAGTGGTGCAATCTTGGCTCACTGCAACCTCCGTCTCCCAGGTTCAAGTGATTCTCTTGCCTCAGCCTCCAAGTACCTGGGACTATAGGCACATGCCACTATGCCCAGCTAATTTTTATATTTTTAGTAGAGACAGGGTTTCACCATGTTAGCCAGGATGGTCTCGATCTCCCGACCTCGTGATCCCACCTCGGCCTCCCAGAGTGCTGGGGTAACAGGCATGAGCCACCGGGCCTGGCTTCACTTTATTTTCACCATTCGTTTTTAGACCAAATGTGAGTGGTGTGGACTGTACTGGAATCGTCATGGGTGGTCACTCTCAGCACCAACTGTGTCCCTCTGCTTGCATTCACCGTAACTCAGTTTATGTCTGGGGGACGGGACCAGGCAGGGCAGGAGTTTCTCCTACTGGTTTCTGCTGACAAACACTGTTTTTATCCTCTTCTAGGTACATTGAACGGAAAGCTTTCCTCGACCGAGTGGATCACAGGCAGTTTGAAATTGAGCGAGATCTCAGGCTGAGCAAAATGAAACCTTGATGTTACGGGCAAAATCAAGAGCAGCTTAATCCTGTTTACAATGTGAGCTTTTTGTGCGTCTGTGAAATGTTTTCCAGTGTTTCTCATCAGCTGTTTCCCAGCAAGGTCTTTATTTTCTACATTGAAGTTCTATGTATCTTAATCACAAATGGTTTCATCCACTTTACTTTTAAAAATTTGTCCTTAAATGAATAAATAAAAGTTGGTCCTGTGAGAGGCTGACGAAGATGACGACCTCACTCCCCTTCCCTTTATTCTGCTGCAAAGTTCCAACCAGTTCAAGCCAGCACATTCCAGGTCTGTCCAGGCTGGCAGAGGTCTGTCCAGGCATAGTAAAGAGAGCTGATCAACCTGGGTGTAGATTTTCTGGGGCCAAGACGCTCTTTCTGCAGCCAGCCTTGCCCGGAAGACCTAGAGGAGCAGGCTCACTAGTGTGGCTGGAATGCCGGGCCCCTTCAAGGTCTGTTCTCAGTTCCACTCGGGCGTCTCTCCTCATCTCTCTCCTTCCTGAATGGATTCCCGCTGATGGCATGTAAGGCTGCAAATAAGGATATACTATTGCTGAATTAGCAGTTTTTTCCCTTCAGCCTTTTTCCTCTTCCCAAAGAAAAGTTAAATTCAGATTTGCTCCCACTTCAATACTTTGTTTATTTTTAGTTTGTCAAAGAATATTCTGAAGGATTTTCTTTTTTATACTCATAAGAAAATGTAAATTCCAAACTTCCTGCTTACTAGAGTCGGACGTTCTTTGCAGAACAGCAGGGAGGAGAGTAACAAACAAATCCTTGGTGAAGAGGGAAAGGGATAGAGACCATTTGTATTAATAAAGCAGGAAATCCCACAGCCTGCTGCTGGCGTGTGTGTGCCTGCATGTTCAGGTGTGTTACCCGAGTAACATGACAGGTTTGAGTGATGACAGGATCCTTAAGACTGCATTCCATTTCTTGCTGTACCAGCTTTGTGACCTTGACCACAGGTCAGTTTCCTGTGCTTCCATTTTCTGATCTGCAAATGGCATGAATAACACCAATACCTCCAAGGGGTGGAGTGAGCTGATGACAGACCTGGCGGGTATGAGTACTAGTTGATGGCAGGTCTCCCAGTCTACGTCTCTAATGTGGTCAGAACTCGTAGCAACTGAGACTTGACTCAACACTAGATGGTTATGGGCTATGGATCTTACTACTCAGAAAGGTAGTTTACAAGCTAAAATTGAACACAGCGTCTGTTCACATCCCCTCTGATAAATAATTCTCAAAGTGATGATAGAGCATTTCAGGCCAGCGTCACAACAGGCAGCCTGCAAGGTCTTTGTTATGGTCCCAAGTGGGACATAAGAATAACAGAGGAAGGTGGCTCATGCCTGTAATCCCAGCACTTCAGGAGGCCAAGGCAGGTGGATTGCTTGAGCTCAGGAGTTCAAGATCAGCCTGGGCAACATGGTAAAACCCTGTCTCCACCAAAAATACAAAAAAGAAATTAGCTAGGCATGGTGGTGTGTGCCTGTAGTCCCACATACTCAGGAGACTAAGGTGGGAGGATCACTTGGTCCCCGGAAGTTGAGGCTGCAGTGAGCCAAGATGGTGCCACTTCACTCTGGCCTGGGCACAGGGAGTGAGACCCTGTCTCAAAAACAAAAAAAGAATAACCTAAGACCAGCCAGTATTTTGATGACAGGACATCCAGACCTTCTGGAGGTAGCAGCCAAGATTTGATGTGAATGTCCTCCCACATGGTACTCTCCAGTTCATCATCTATCATTCATCACCATTTGGCGACTGTTCCCCTAACTTTTCTCTGGAGTTGAGTCCCTCTACCATTACATTTCACAGAGGTCTTCATCGCAGCAGCCAGTGTCTCAGCAGCACACGAGCTGGCTCTCTCCCTGCTTGAAAAATGATCTGGAAGCCAATAAAATGAATAGTACTGAGATCATGATAAGTTAGGGTTTTCTTTTTCACAAATGTTAGCACCTTTGAAGCCTAAAGGATTAAGACAAAAGCTGCAAAAGCCTGCTGGGTTCTTCTCACAGGTGGGTTTGCTATTCCTGTTTTGCTCCGAGGTACGAAGGGAGAACTCAGATGTGTCAGTGAAAGTCGTAACTGTGTGCTTGGGCCCTGCCTTTCTTCAGGATCCAGCCCTTCACACAGGCTTCTCCATCTGTACCCTGGGAAAGATTGGTTCCTTTTTGCTGTCTCTTGATTGCTGTGTCTTTTTTTGTTTGTTTGTTTGTTTGTTTTTTGAGACGGAGTTTCGCTCTTATTACCCAGGCTGGAGTGCAATGGCACGATCTCGGCTCACCGCAACCTCCGCCTCCTGGGCTCAGGCAATTCTCCTGCCTCAGCCTCCTGATTGCTGTGTCTTTTCCCAGCAGGGTTACTGCCCACACTGACACAATCACCCATTACCTCTCCATCAGTCTTTTAGAAATCACCTGTAGGCCAGGTATGGTGGCTCACACCTATAATCCTAGCACTTTGGGAGGCCAAGGAAGGTGGTCACCTGAGGTCAGGAGTTTGAGACCAGCCTGGCCAATGTGGTGAAACCCCGTCTCTACTAAAAAATACAGAAAAATTAGCCAGACATGGTGGCACGTGCCTGTAATCCCAGCTACTCAGGAGGCTGAGGCAGGAGAATCACTTGAACCTGAGAGGCAGAGGTTGCAAAACTGAGAACACGCCATTGCACTCTAGCCTGGATGGCTGAGCAAGACTTTGTCTCAAAAAAAAAAAAAAAAAAAAAAAAAAAAACCCTCTAGTCTAGTCAAGCCCCTGTCAGGGAATACATAGCTATTTGCATGGATCCTATTACAGGTGCTCTGTTTCCCAGTTTGTAGATCTCTGCTTTGGAGTCTCACAGTTTCCCACTGTTAACTGTGCTATTTGCCTTGACTTCAGCTGTCACTCTTTTTTTTTTTTTTTTTTTTTAAGACAGAGTTTTGCTCTTGATACCCAGTCTGGAGTGCAATGGCATGATCTCAGCTCACCGCAACCTCCGCCTCCTGGGTTCAGGCAATTCTTCTGCCTTAGCCTCCTGAGTAGCTGGGATTACAGGCACATGCCACCATGCCCAGCTAATTTTTTGTATTTTTAATAGAGACGGGGTTTCACCATTTTGACCAGGATGGTCTTGATCTCCTGACCTCGTGATCCACCTGCCTCAGCCTCCCAAAGTGCTGGGATTACAGGCGTGAGCCACCGCACCCGGCCAGCTATCGCTCTTTAGATCTACATGGAACCTCTTTAAAAGCCTCCTGTACTGACCTCACTTCATCTCACTGATGAAGCACTTCCCCTGGCTGATACATTTGCACTTGTGTGTATGTATTATGTACATGTGTCATCTTACAATGAGAGTTAATAATGGACTTTCATTTAGTCTCACTGGCCATATCTGGGTCATTGAACTCCCTCTATCTGTAGGGAAGGCTGGAAAAGTGAGTGTCTTGGAAAACATGCAAGGAGAAAAGAAATTAGTAGGAGTATGTAATAGGTCGGCTAACCAGTGTACCTGCCACACTCAGTCTTTGTCATAAACCAACAGGTTTTTCTCCATTTGTTCTTTAAAATTGTCCCAGGCTGGGCACAGTGGCTTATGCCTATAATCCCAGCCCTTTGAAAGACCAAGGCGGGAGGATCACTTTAGCCTAGGAGTTTGAGACCAGCCTGGGCAACACAGACCCCATCTCTACAAAAAATAAATTTTTAAAAATTAGCCAGTTGTACTGGCACATTCCTGTAGTCCCAGCTACTCGAGACTGAAACAGGAGGATCACTTGAGCCCAGAAGGTCGAGAGGTTGCAGTGAACCAAGATCAAACACTTCACTCCAGCCTGGGCAACAGAGCGAGACTCCGTCTCAGGGGAAAAAAAAAAAAAAAGAAAAAAATGGGCCACGTGTTGGTAATTGTTGAAGCTGAAAGAGGAGTATATTAGATTTATTATACTGTGCTCTACTTTTATAGAGATTTGGATTTTTCATAATTTTTGTTTATGAAGTCTATAGTAATGTTTTTTAAATTGTCACAGGGAGGCTGGGCACAGTGGCTCACGCCTTTAATCCCAGCACTTTGGAAGGCCAAAGTGGGTGGATTGCCTGAGGTCAGGAGTTCAAGACCCGCCTGGGCAACACAGTGAAACCCCATCTCTACTAAAAATACAAAAATTAACTGGGCATGGTTGTGCATGCCTGTAATCCCAGCGACTCGGGAGGCTGAGGCAGGAGAATCGCTTAAACCCAAGAGCTGGCAGTTGCAGTGAGCCAAGATTGTACACATGCACTGCAGCCTGGGCAGCAAAGTGAGACTCTATCTAAAAAAAAAGCGCCGGGCGCGATGGCTCAAGCCTGTAATCCCAGCACTTTGGGAGGCCGAGGCGGGTGGATCACAAGGTCGAGAGATCGAGATCAACCTGGTCAACATGGTGAAACCCCGTCTCTACTAAAAATACAAAAAATATCGGCTGGGTATGGTGGCGCGTGCCTGTAATCCCAGCTACTCAGGAGGCTGAGGCAGGAGAATTGCCTGGAGGTTGCGGTGAGCCGAGATCGCGCCATTGCACTCCAGCCTGGGTAACAAGAGTGAAACTCCGTCTCAAAAAAAAAAAAAAAAAAAGAAGTCACAGAGAGGCTTCAAGTAAGGAAAGACTTTGAAGTACTCAGGCTGTTCTAGTAGAGTGTGGGCAGCCCCCCAGGGCTCATCTCCCCACCCTGCAGGTCTCACAATGGCCGGGAGTGTAGTAGAGGGGACTGTTGTCCAGGAAGGAGGTCCTCTCTGTCTCCTAAGATCCTGGATGCCTGTTTTTCTTTTCTTTCTTTATTTTATTTTATTTTGAGACAGGATCTTGCTCTGTTGCCCAATCAATGCAATGGCATAATCATGGTTCACTGCAGCCTCGACCTCTTGGGCTCAAGAGATCCTTTCACCTCAACCCCCCAAGCAGCTGGGACCACTGTGTGGGAGGTATACACCATTGCACCCAGCTAACTTTCTAATTTTTTATAGAGACAGGGTCTCACTATGTTGCCCGGGTTGGTCTTAACTATGCCTGTTTTTAACAACTTGGAAACCAGACTGCAGATTCTATGTCACCTCTTCTTCCCAGACTCTGAAGGTCCTCCTCTTGCCCCTTCTTTTTACTCGTTACTATTGTGGATCAAGTTCAAGGGACAGGGGAACTGGCCAGCAAGACGGGGTCCTTGGGCATTGGCAGTTGGTATCTGCAAATGGGTGGC